CACAAGCAGCAACAGTTGGAAGCTGGCGGGAACAGCGCCTTTAACGTACACAAGCTCATAGCAACTCGCCCCCAGCAGCCCCAGCCCGGGCCTGGGAAGCGCCTTCCAGGGCAGCCTGTGAAGCAATCCCGGGGGAGAGCAGATATTGTCGGACTGTCTAAATCACGTGCACAGTTATTCACATGCAAGGATTTACATACAACTTGCTTTTGCTTCCCTGTGACATTTTTCTTTCTCTTTTTTCCATTCCAAACAATTTTAAAAATAAGGTTATGTTAGACCACACACAGGCAGTGCTGTATCATGTCCCTGCTTCTTAGGCAGGGCTCCCTCATTTATTTCAAAGGGAAGTTCTGCTTCAAAATTGAGGGTGTGATATGAACTCAGAAATTAACACAAGAATTTTCCTTGGGGGGAACCGAGGCTGAATCAGACATGCAATAAATGACCTTGGAAGCCCTGTGCCTTGGTACATCCACCTATCCAACACTATGCTTTAACATAAAAAATTATTTTCACCGTGATCCTATTTCAAGCTAGGTAGAAGAGCTGGAAGAAGTGGATTCACTTTGGTCAGGAGGGAACAAATTAGTCATCTGTCTGTCTGCCAGGATGTCCCTCTACACTGTACTCCTAACACTTTTTTTTCCTTGAATACAAGCATTACGGGGTTAGAGGCGTGTGCTGGTGATGTCCAGCAGCACAGGTCCCACCGCTGGCACTGGCTGGGATCCTACAGGCTCTGTGGCTTTCACGCAGCAGCAGGGACCACTGGGAAAGCCGAGTGGCCATCACGGGGGGCCATCAGCCCCAGCCTATTCAAGTAGGCTCATCTGATGTCTGGCGGGACGTGCAGCAACTCCCTCGCAGTGACAAATCCCGATCCCACCGACTCCGGAGGGCTTTGCCACTAGTCGCAGCAGGACTGGAACTTGACACAGAAAAAGCAAGGTGGAAACATTGTCCTGGCAGCGCCAGCTAAGACAGAAAAACCCACACAGCTGCTGGTGCTTCAACGCTGCCCATTGCCAGACAGGAACCGAAGCGCTGTCCCCATGGACAGACCCTCCGCTGCCAGACACGCAGCTCCACGCCTTTCCACCTCACGAGACCTATTTGGGACCTGTGGCCCCAGGCCAGCACTAACTGCACTTTAACCTTGCCCTGCCCAAGGGGATATTTCAAACCCACTGAATGAGCACCAAGGAGCCCACTGGGCCCCAGGGATCAAGTTTTGAACATCTGCACCACTTCCTAGACCTCCCATCTCACTTTGGTACTTTAAATGAGCAGAGCTTGGGAAGGTCCCACCACCCTTTTGCTCCTATATGAGCTCTAGCTTGAGAATTTAGTTACTAAGAAAATTAGGCGGAGGCTTTGTTTTCCAAAGAAAGAGAGGCTCCTGGACCTCTGTTTCCTCCCGCAAGAACAGGACGGGAAGTCCAGTGCATCAGCTTTACATGCAAAACATTTTAATTCTGCTCTCCCACCCCTCGTGCGCTCACTACATGCAAAAGAGGTGCCCCGGAGGTGTGAACCGAAGGCAGCCTCGAGCAGCCCGGTCTCGCTTCCCTGCGACCCGGGAGCCCGCTCACCCATCTGGGCCCTACAAACAAGACAGCGCTGCTCATTCCCCTGCTTTCTAAAACTATTTACAAAAGCAACCTGGAGGAACTTATGAGCGCTCCTTCTACCATGTAACTACCACATGGTACAAGACATAACAATGTTCAGAAAACCCCCTCAGGTCTAAACGCAATTATACAACTGTAGCAAGAAAAATATTTTAATCTGATCAAAGTGTTAACATGTTTGACCATGTCTGACCTCTAATGTTTGTAACCACCTAAAAGGCAGATGTTCTTACTAAGGATGTACCTTAATTTGATTTAAAGTTATTTGTGCTACTTAAAAAAGGATATAGTTTTATGATTTTATATTTCACTTAGAAAAACAGTTCCTCAGCTTCTTAATATTCTTTGGAAGTTTATTGCAGATTTTTAACCGGTGCATCCCATGTATTCTGCTCTGGGAACAGCTGGAGTTTTCCAAGAGCAAGGAGAGCCGAAGCAGACTCGCGAAACGCGCGTGCATCAGCTGAGAGCTGCAATCCTGCTCTCTCTCTTTGGCAGCTCTGTTGCTGCTCCAGGACGCTTGCAAGCTAAAAGCACGTCCCATCTGCGCTACGCGTGCTCAAATCGGCATCGGTCTAGCCCTAAAACGGTGTTTGCCACCGAGAGCACGGGTGGCCCGTACCGAGCCAGGTGCCGCGTGCAGGCTGGCTCTCCCCACATCCTGCTGCGAGCTGGGGGCACAGCAAGTCAGCTGGGCTGCCGCTGATGTCAGGCGCCCAGCCGTTTTCCACCCACCATTCACCAGTGACACCCGGACATGTAAATAGCACCAGTGGGTGTGTTGTGACAAAACACCCGGCTTTGGCCCCGGAGAGGCAGGGACCCTCCCGGGGCGGCGCGCCGCTGAGCGAGCCACGAGCGACTGGAGGAAAACAAAGCCATAGCGATGATGCTGAGGAAAT